CGACACGCTTTCGCATCGACTCCATCGGCACGAGAGTCCCGTACTGTCGGCGCCCATACCTATCATTCACTCGTCCGATACGATGCTTGTGGTCGACAAACCGCCCTCTATTCCCGTGAGTGCTGTGTGTCTCGAGTCGACTGTCCCGACTCCTAGCCTAACCACTATTGTTATTGTATCGCAGATCCATCCGTGCGGTAAATACCGACACAACACACTTCAACACGTGTTGGCCAAAGAGCACAAAATTACGGATCTCTACAGTTAGCGATTGATTCTATATTTTATTGAATTTTTGTTGTAAAATAATGTCAACTCTATTCCTGTGCAGCGATTCATCGTTTGGATCGATTGACTTCTGGAGTATTGATGTTCGCGCGAACGGCGGCCACCGCTCAGAAACTGCACGAACAGATTCGTAAACACGAACTCGAAAAGCAATACGTGTGTCGAGTTGTCGGCAAATTTCCCGAGTAATGCATCTATTGTTTTATTTGATGACTCAATCGTTATCTAATCATTTTGTATCTACCAATCAGTGGTGTCATAACCTGCGAACAGCCCATCGAAACACTATCGCATAAAATCGGCATTAATGTGATTGACCCGAAAGGCAAGCCCTGCACCACAACCTTCGAGAGACTCAACTATAACGGGAAGAGTAGTACAGTGTTATGTAGACCTAAAACGGGACGAATGCATCAAATTCGGGTTCACCTCCAATACTTGGGTCATCCCATACTTAACGACACTTTCTATAATAACGACGCCTTCGGTCTCAAGAGAGGCAAAGATGGCGATTACGGCAAAACCAAAGACGAGGTGATCCAAGACATCGAGAAACAACACCAAAGAATGCTTTATCTCTTATCAAATGTGACGGAATTGTCGGCCGAAGAGCGAGAACTGGACGATAAGGAGCGAGAGATCGCTTTAAAAGCGTTACATCACTACACGAATAGAGAGGAATGGCATTCGTTGGTCGAAAAGTATATATTAATTGTTTATTTAAATTGTTTGTTAAATGAATTGTTTATTTTATAGGTATAAATTGGATACAAATGCGTTGATAATAGACATCAGTTGTGAAGAATGTACAAACAAGACAATTGATCCCAACCCTAAAGATCTCCTAATCTATTTGCACGCACTTTGTTATAAAGTAATTATCCATTTATTTGAATGTCTAATCAATAACTCGTTATTTATATTGAATGTTGTTTAGGGCGAAGGTTTTGAATACAAGACAGCGCTTCCAGTCTGGGCTTTGGATGATTGGGATTATGACTGATATTTATAAACTTGATTGCAATTAATTAACTTTTTTAAAGCAAATATAGTTTATTTGTAGAAATTTTTAATTTACATTAAAGTAATTTTAAATATAAAAAATGATTCATATATTTGTCTGAAAAGTTTAGAGAGCTTTTAAAAGGCAGCGTTCGGTGTGTCGGAGAAGTTGTATTGTATTGGTTTACATACAATATCTCACTATTGAATATCATTCTACAAAATGTTTTCAATTAACGTCTTCCGTCGACTATAATTGCATGCAATTATATCTAGATTTAAGCTAAATCACAAAAGTGCTAACCAGGGGCAACTATATCCGAATACAATTGCCCCCCATGTTAAAAACTTGCATATAGTTGCCCCCAATTTTTAAATACATTTTTAATGTTAACTTTAAAAGTTTTATTCGTGAATTGTAATACAGAAATAAGTAGAGTCTCTATTTTTCGGGAGTTAAAACATTCGGGCGGGAATCGGGAGTATAAAATGGTCAAATTCGGGAATAAAATCGGGAACAAAAACTTATAAAATTAAGCATGTAATTGAAGTTATTGGGTATTTTTGTCACTTAAAATGAGTTATGAATTGTATTAAAGTGAATTTCATCATATTAATCTGTAATTAAGCGGTAAATTAATGTCTCAAAATCTGGATTTTACAAATCTTACTAATTTTGAAATATATGTGATCACGGAATTAAAACATACTTTTAATATTGCTATCATAAATGTGTTAACTCGTATAATAATTAAAATAATTTCATTTCTAATGCCAACAATTATTAGATTTTATATCTAAATATGCTAAATTCTTTATTATTTTCTATAAAAACTGAGTTTTCGGACAAATCGGGAATAAAATGGGCTTTTCGGGAGTTTTCGCAAAATATGCCAAAATCGGGAAAATTCGGGAAAATGAAACTGATATATTTTGGAGCCTTTATAACCCTCGAGACTAATGGGATGTTATTCCCGAGTATGCTAGTAACTAAATTTAATCGGGAATTCCCGAAAAATAGAGACTTTAGAAATAAGCAATCATTGTAAGCATAATAAGAAATTAAATATCTTTACAGTTTGATATTTAATGAATTTGAGGGCAACTATACGTGAATTTCGACAAATGTTTGTTTGACAGCAAAACTGAGGGCAACTCTATCCGAATATAATTGCCCCCCGACTTAGAGATCTAGATATAATTGCACTGCAACTATAGTCGACGGAAGACGTTAATAAATGTTTAAACAGGTAATGGAAGGACTGATCGATACATGGATTCACTCAAACATATCGTCGAAATCCTCTTCGAAATCGTGACCAAAATGTGTGGCGAAATCTAAACCCTCGTGGGCTTCAAAATCGAGGTTTAAATCTTCAAACAGATTCGTAAGAGTGGTCGTAATCGATGCCGGATTCGGGTTCTTAAAAAGGGGACTCAAAGGGAACAATTCCCACATGGGTTTGGAAGTGATGGCCTTCGACTTAAGCTCATTCAGCGGAGTCTTTGTGTATATTTCTGAATATTTGAGTCGCAAGTGTGCGACGGATCGTCTTTGTGTGGTGTAATAGAAATGCGCGCAAACGGCGAGATCGGGGTAATGGCGGCGATCCAGGGCTTCGGCCTCCGGATAGCCGAGAAGACGAACGTACGGCAGATCTTTGGCGCCATACTTGTCGACAATGGTCTTTACGGCGCCCCTCAAGCGCACGATATCTGCTTTGACGGCCTCCAATCGCATCGCTTCGGTCGAGTCGTTGGAAGCGTACTCTTGCGAGAGGCGGAACAGCTGAAGACCCGAACAAAACATAACATATCGTATGTGGAGAAACATTTCGGCCATATTTGAGACCTTGCGGTCGCCTCGTGTCCATTGCGTGTAATCGGGTGGCGGATAATCGATAGCGTATCGGCACAGAGCGGGCACAAGTGTCTTATAGGCGTAAAAACGTCGTTTAGTGTCCGCAAAAAGTTCCGGTCGACACACGAACGACAACTTCTCGACGATGACATCACTACGAATGGTGGCCGCGAATGAGTCCAATCGGCGTTTCATCCATTCTTCCAGATATCGTGTCTGACTTTTGGCCGGCAGTGAAAACAGTAGGAAATAGTTGGCCAACAGTTGATCGTCGGACACAACCGCCTGAGTGTCTAACGGGAGACCGAAAGTGGCCTCAAACTGATGGTCACCGATGCGGACGATATTGTCGGCGAATACGGTCTCAATGATAGCCATCATATTGTGTTGATCCAGAAGAATGGCCGACCAGAACAGCTGATGAAAGCCATTTCTGGCGGCAAACTTGCGGCGCTTGGGATCGGCCAACACTTCCGACCACTTGTCAAAGGCGTGCGAACTCGACGTAAAGTACTTCAGCCGAGTCTTCAACTCCTTGTCATCGGCGGCGCCGTCGGGCAGAACCAGTGGCGGCAGTCGTCGCTTGACTCTTGTCCGCTGGCCATCACCAGCAGCTGATCCGTTCATCGATGCGCTCTCTTTCGGTGTGTTATAAACAATGGGTGATGTCTTGAGGACCACAACAACAACAACAACACAATACACAGACACTCAATGGTAAACACAAAGTGTTTTCATTGTAAATGAGCGCCACTTTTGAGCAACACTTGTAATCGCATTCACTTTAATTCATATGTGATTGCATTTAATACTTGTTTTGAGGTTTAATTATTAGCTTTTGTGACCACGACTTCCAAGACATATAAACATCTTAAGCATATCGTGTTTCACATGAGGTGTTGTGATTGCAAAATGACTTTAATATAGCATTTATAAGTAAAATTAGTAAAATTAAATCCAAAATAAAAAAACTTTAAAACAATTTTGTTTTTGCGATATTTTTATTAATTTGAATATTTAGTGCAATTTTAAGCCAATTGTCTGTTAATTATTGGAGTTTATATAGAAAAATATCAAAACAAAATTGTTTTTATTGACTGCATTTAATTAAACCAAAAATACATTAATTTTTTTATCCAATTTATGTTTTACTTAAACTTTATAAGTTTTTAGAAATTAATAGCTTATTATTTTTATACATACAACTTTGTGCTTATATTTAATTAACTAAAAACTTATATTTAATTTACTAAGCCTTTAACTAAATAAATTAATATTTAACTGATATTTAAATCTATATTTAAGTGAACATTTTTACTTTAATAATAAGATATGTAATGATAATTATCTGTTTATATGAATTCTGTGCAATATTTTAAATCATTGTTAGGAAGTATTATTGTAAACATTTAAACATATCTTGTTTTTCATATTTTATATCAAATAGAACTTTTTATATTTTCTATATAATATGCAATATTTGAATGTGCTTTCTATCAATTAGGGTCCAAATTAGCTGTAATTAAAGCAAACATCTGACTTATATTTCAATACATTATGTCAAATGCATCCTCTTCTGGTGTCGGAAATATAGCATCTGTTTTGGGGTATATTTATCACGTTATTAAGGGTTGTTTGACACGAGTTAAACATAATTAGATAATGAAAATCATTTAAACGCTTGTTATCAACACTTTATATCCGGTTTGAAAAACTTTTATATTGTATAAGAATTGGTAGAAAATATATTTGTTTGCATTTTAATCGATATAATAAATATCATAGATTTATGTAAAGCATTATGTTAAATTTAATTGTAATCTTGGTATTTATTTCCCAATTGACAAGATGTCATCAAATTTATAATGATTTACTTGAGAGTCAAGTGTTTGCGAAACAAGATTTTTATAAAGGTATAAGAAATGCCACAAAACTCGGAGCTGTCTTTCAGATGCCAACTGATCCGTCAGTTCAGTGTTTGGATCTCTCAATGAAAAGCGAATTGAATTTTATTTATCAAAATCTTACCGATAATACCATTAATGGTTTTGTTCGTGTCGTCAATGATTACAATAAATCTGTTTTAAATTTACAACAACTGGTAATAAATCTATTTTTTGTGAAATTAATTTTAATTGAAATTTAAAGTTTAGTGAAACCTTAAATCAACTCAATTTGATTGAAGTCAAAAATGCGAATTTGGGTCAAATTAATCCAATTGAAGAAACACTAAAACATGATTTGTTAATCAAACAAATTGAGAATAAAATCAGTAAATTTAGTAGAAATACATCTCACAAATGGATTGATAGCGTTGTCCAAAACTATTTCAAATCTGTGCGAGAATTAGAAATGAACAATATTTTGCATACAATTGAAGAACAGGTAAAAGTTATCTATAATTATTACCAATTATGCAAAATTAATTACTATAAAAATATGAATCTAACAGTTCCTAAAAAGTCTTACTATCGATGAAACGTCGAGAATCACAAAAGAGTGTCATATAAAACATGAAACTATACGTGAAGTTTTATTTGAAATCATTGAACACAAAGAGATCATCACTAAAATTGTTAGCAAAACGATACCATTGAATGAGACGAACGACGATATAAAGAAGATTTGCTGTGATTTCTTAAAATTCTTGGTAAACGTGACGGACAGACAGGCGATTGAAAATTACATTTACAACAAAATTCCTGCCGCCTATCGAAACAAACTGATCATGGCTTACAATTCCGGAGGGTTGGCTAACTTGAAACGAGTTTTGCAAACTATGTGCGGGTCGTCATCGGTGGCGATGGCTATGATCTTCATTGCGCTGATGGATGTAATCACACCATTGAAGAGTGAGGAAGACTACGATAGACTGCATAAAGTGTTTCAATTCATTCAATGGCTTAACAATAATGTAAAACAAGGGTTAGGTTTGCGTTTAAATGCAAATTCAGTTCAAACTTCTTTGAGAAAAGTAAGTTATTATACATTTAATGACAAATTGTGAATCTAATTATTTTTTAATAATACTTAAGTTAATGACAACTTTAAGCCAAACAAATACTAAAACACACAATGAATTATTGGATTCTGTGATTACCGTAGAGTATAAATATGAGGATCTATTCAATACAATCCAACGGGAATTAAACAAACTATTTAAGTATTAATACATGAAATAATTAATTTCTATTAATAAATAATCGTAATTCTCAGTATAAGTTTGCAAAATTATTTTATTGAGTGATTATTATTAAGATTTTTGTTTAAACTTTTAATATTACATAACAGTAAACTTTAAATGTTAAACATCCATCACAACGCATTCAAATGTCCATGGCTATTTCATATTTGTTGGGATACCATCTAGCATAGATTGGTTTGAAATTAAATACATCAGGGTGACCAAAATGGTTATTTTTGAATCCACTTTTTGACCATTGAAAGGGAGGCTGTTGTTGATCAGTGGGTCCGCTGACGGCCAACAGTTCCAACTCTTCGACCATCGATGAATTGGTCATCTTGGCGTCGGTCGCGCCCTCAGCCCTATGAGCCCAACCGGCGATCGGATAATTGCCGTTCACGTCGTTGAGATCATTGCGGGCAGCGATGGACAGGTCGGCAGAATATGGAGGAACGCATACTTTGTTATAGATTCGGCACTCAGACAGCGGATCCTTTTTAAAGTCGTTGTAACGCATGAGTGAAAACAATGTCTTTAAATCGACAATCTTTGACTGATCCCGACGGAAGATAAGGGCGCGCGCCGTATCGTTATAGCTGTAAAATGGGCCGAATTTGGCATATTCTTCGGCATTACCGCTGCGATCGTAGATATCCTTAAAATAGGGCACATTATATGAGGCCCAATAGCCCTGCGAGCGGAGGACATGGGTTACATCTTCGGGGTGTATCATATCCGGCATCTGTTCAATAATCCAAAGCAAATTGTCGGGCATTAGATATCCTTAAAATAGGGCACATTATATGAGGCCCAATAGCCCTGCGAGCGGAGGACATGGGTTACATCTTCGGGGTGATAGTATAGGCCGTAGACAAGTTATTAGGTTTCGTTTAACAGCCCGTTAAGTGACTGAAAACACGGGAAAAACTTGTCGAATATCAGTTGCTAGTATTTGACCAATAATATTCACGGCGATAACATGGGCGCGAACAAATCTGTCCACTCTTTGCCCGAATCGGCCAAACGATTGGCCACAACATTGCGAATGAATTCAAAAAGTATATTATCGGCCCGAATGTGTTGATACAGGGATTGATTATAGTTATGGTTAGTTGTCTCCTGAACCACGAGTTTGGACGACAAGACATAGTAGTCATCGCCGGAGAAGATAAAGCCCGGCGACGACGAGAAAGACACCGAATGGCCGGCAATTTTCTTGGTCTTATTGGACGCCAACGTTTTGAACGCAAAGCTATACCTCTTCATCACTCGTAACATTGTCTCCAAACCACTCCACGTGTTGTGAGCGACAAACAGATCGCTGCCGTCGGCCAACGGTTTAACAATTGCCGAACAGTGGTCTCTATAGCGAAGAGTTGTCGAGTCGGGCGTTAGGATCCGCTCGAGATTAGACATCTCTGAGCCCACGTTTATCCAAAATATTTCACTCAAATACTGACTTTCGGTCGTATTCTTGATGTCATTTTGTACTTTCCATAAGTGATAACCGGCTTCTAATCCGTTGATCTGTTTGTAGATCAGATCCAATTGATGCCAATAATCATTATTCTTGTTCTTAGCGATCATTGATTCAACAAATTTGGTGTTATTTTCTTTGAATTGTTTGAGTAATTCGCAAAATCTCTGTCGTTTGTCACACAAGCCCTCAATATTATTGCGATAATTCATATGAATTAACTCTCCAGTGATATATCCCTCAAGAATTCCTGACATAAATGATTGAATTTCATCGGGAAAGCGGTCATAAGTTGTCAGCTCTAATTTGGCCCAACTTTTGCAATATTCATTTAATTAAAAAAAAATATTTTTAAAACTTAATGGCATTAATCAAAAGTTATATAAATACCCGGTTTTGTTAACAGTGTTTTCATATATAATCATAGCGACCGTCTCTTCGGGCAAATCAACGATTGTTTCATTATATGTTTCGCTCGTATGTATTGTCCCATCGTTTAGGATATAATGGTATTTAAATGATAAACATTTGGCCACAAATAAAGTGACAATTAGTGCCACAAAAATTACCTTCATTTTCAACTCAATATTTAATAAATACTGTATTAACTTATTTACAAAAGAAGACAATTAACTGATTTATGGCAATGAATAGTTAATTATGGGATTAAAAACAAATGTCAAGTGTTTTGATAAGAGTTTTAGAGATAAAACAAAAGTAAAAAATACAAACTTCAAGTCCTTTTCAAAATGAGATGATAATTGAGTATTTAAAGTGACTGATTGTGCAAAACATTTACATTGTATCTAACATTGTTTTAAACTCTTTACACTATTCAAACTTGGTCAATGTTCACTACAGTTTAGTTCAATCCATACTTTGGTATCAGATAATAGTCTGGCAAAATAAAGTGCAATAATATTGGTTTTATTAAGATTAAATCGCTTTCATGTCATTTTGATATTAATTAAAAAATATATTACCATTATATTACAGGCAATGTTTATTATTACTTGATTTAATGATTTAAGTCAGTTCAATCTGAGATTGACAATCTCTAAATTTTATTTGTAAATTAACAAATGGTTTAAAACTATATTTTAAAGTTAATATGTATTTACAAAAACATAAAAAACACACAAAACATATGTGTTTCGCCTGATTCAGAAACTCAACATCCGCGCCGGCTGGAGAGACAACCGGTGCGCAACGTAGAGTTCTCGCGGCGGCTGCGGGTCTGGGTGCTAACTCGGTTTCCGACACGAGAAGTGATTTCCGTTACATAACTTCTCCAACAGATAAAAGTCGCGGTAACCGAGTCTAAGACACCAATCAATTCAATACATATTAAGTAACTATAGTCTCAAACAAGACATCAAACCTTTTATATTTCCAATGACTGTACGGAACCGCTATCGCGAAGGCAATGAAGAAGCCATAGCCAGCACCTGATCCACGGAGTGGTAAAACAGTGTATTAGTGGATCAATTGCTTGGCAATCTGTAAGACACTTACCGACGAGTAGTCCGAAGCCGTCGAAGACCTCCTGTTGGTATCGATAGTCGGGTAAGACATCATAATTGGGATATTCAGTGGTCTTCACGTCCAGACTCTTGTTGAAGTTGGGATCCGATTGTTCCGTGTATTCTTTGAATACATCCCATCCCCACTTCACCATCGCTTCCACCGATTGGTCCGCTTCTTGTGTCCAAACGTTTGAATCGCCGTTTTATCACTCAATGGCCACTCAATTATCATTCAATTTAACCATTAGTTTAATCCAAAAAAGCAAAACTTTTAAAGTTTTTACTCTCAATAAAAATAATAACACAAATAAATCACTCATTAATAACGTTTGGCTATTAATGCAAATCAATTACATTTCTAATTAATTTGTTAATACATTTAATTATATTTTATTAATTGAATTGTTGTAATAAATAATATATAATTAATAATTATAATAAAACTTAAATTTAAGTATAATTATCATTAAACCAATGGATGGTAAGTATGAGTGGATGTGATGTGTTTGAGGACGTGATTGTGTGTCAGTGAAAGTCACGTGTCGTTAGCTTTTGTCGGTTTGATTGCATTGAATGCATGTTTTGGTGAATTCATTGAAACGTTTGGATCAATCGATAGGTGATAATGAAGTTAACGCCGGAACTGATCGAAAGCGGGTATCAATACATCAACAAAGCGACGAGAGATCGTGAACTGGATCTGAGGGCCTATAAGGTAACCGTCATCGAGAACTTGGGCGCGACGTTGGATCAGTTCGACTCAATCGACTTCTCCGACAACGATGTCCGCAAACTGGACGGCTTCCCACTCCTGGTCCGCCTCAAGACACTCCTCTTCAACAACAATCGGATCAGTCGTATGGCCGACGACTTATACGAATCCATTCCCAACTTAGAGACACTCATTCTGACGAGTAATCACATGCAAGAGTTGGGTGACATCGAGCCGTTGGCCGCCTTCGCACGTCTCACCACATTGTCTCTCCTCAATAACCCGATCGCAACCAAAAAGCATTACCGGCTTTACGTGATCCACAAATTACCGCAAATCCGGTTATTGGACTTCAGGAAAGTGAAGGAAAGGGAGCGCACGGAAGCCAAACAGCTGTTCAAAGGCGCGAAAGGCAAACAACTCGAGTCCGAGATCGGTGTCAAGTCCAAGACGTTTACGCCGGGAGTGCCCGACTCGGACGGCGCCGCACCGGCCAGAGAGTCGAGCCGACCCGTGCACACGGCCGCCGACGTGGAGGCCATCAAAGCGGCCATTTCTAAGGCACAGACGCTGGAAGAGATCGAGCGCTTGAATCAGTTGCTGAAATCGGGTTATATTCCCGGCAAAAGTGATGCCATTCAACGAAATGCACAGAAAGTGACACAAATTGTTGAGGAGGAAGAAGAGGACGACGACGAAGACAGCACTGCGATGGAGACCAACGCCAATGGAAGCGCCAATTAAAGTACCGATGGATATGAGAGACGGCGCGCAACACTTCAAATATTTAATTGCATTCAAAACACAAATCCATTCGTTATTTACATGTAATTAAAATAAACTCATTTGTCGTATAAAAGCAATCAATAGATCGCCTCTTTTTTCATTTAATTATAATTATATGTGAATTAATTAAGTTATAATAATTATTAATATTACAATTATTATTAATTTATGATTTATATAATTGATTCAAACATTCAGATATTTTTTCGTTACAATTAATATCACAATAAAATGACCATATATTTCAACAATTAATATCGATTATCAATTAAAAACATGATAAAAGATTGCCATTCAGTTATACAATAAACATGTCCTAAATATTTGCACATATTATGGAAATGTTGATTGAAATTCAATGATTAGTTAATAATGTTTTTAATATATAAACTTATAATTTATTTCAAATTATAAATAAATCTGAATGTTATTAAGAAATAGAAAAAATTAATTTAAATATAGTTTGCAAATCAGTTAAGAATCTCGAGATAAGCCAACGGAACTCTACCCTTTTGGGCGCCTATACGTGACAAATATGCAAATTATTAATCACTAATTTAATGGCAATCAATCAAAGTGTGTATCGTATGTCAAACCTCTTTCTCCTTGCATCCAATCAGCGTCCAAATCAACAGATTGTGAGACAATAATCACTTCGTTGGCCAAAAGTGACAGTTCTGTGCCGTCTTTTGAGTCATAATCATAGAGAGCTGTCCACAAGAGAAGACAATTGTTAATCGCATAACAAACAAATGACATTCAATAGGTGTGAATGTGTTTTGAATACCTTTAGCGTATCGTTTGCCGGGCGGTAGCGTCGGCTTTATGTCGTCCGAGGGAGAGGTTAAGTCATTGACGTGACCGCGAATACTGGATATGTTGGCACCGGTCGACAGTTCCCGTTGCAGATCACACATGTGTTGATTACAACGGGCGTAGAAAGCGATCTGCGCCGTCACGAAGTCGTTGAGACACCGGACGTGATTAGACTGCAAATGTTAAAACACACAATGAATTATTGGATTCTGTGATTACCGTAGAGTATAAATATGAGGATCTATTCAATACAATCCAACGGGAATTAAACAAACTATTTAAGTATTAATACATGAAATAATTAATTTCTTTTAATAAATAATTGTAATTTTCAGTATAAATTTGCAAAATTATTTTATTGAGTGATTATTATTAAGATTTTTGTTTAAACTTTTAATATTACATAACAGTAAACTTTAAATGTTTAACATCCATCACAACGCATTCAAATGTCCATGGCTATTTCATATTTGTTGGGATACCATCGAGCATAGATAGGTTTGAAATTAAAAACATCAGGTTGACCGAAATGGTTATTTTTGAATCCACTTTTTGACCATTGAAAGGGAGGCTGTTGTTGATCAGTGGGTCCGCTGACGGCCAACAGTTCCAACTCTTCGACCATCGATGAATTGGTCATCTTGGCGTCGGTGGCGCCCTCAGCCCTATGAGCCCAACCGTCGATCGGGTATTTGCCGTTCACGTCGTTGAGATCATTGCGGGCAGCGATGGACAGGTCGGCAGAATAGGGAGGAACGCATACTTTGTTATAGATTCGGCACTCAGACAGCGGATCCTTTTTAAAGTCATTGTAACGCATGAGTGAAAACAATGTCTTCAAATCGACAATCTTTGACTGATCCCGACGGAAGATAAGGGCGCGCGCCGTATCGTTATAGCTGTAAAATGGGCCCAATTTGGCATATTCTTCGGCATTACCGCTGCGATCATAGATATCCTTAAAATAGGGCACATTATATGAGGCCCAATAGCCCTGCGAGCGGAGGACATGGGTTACATCTTCGGGGTGATAGTATAGGCCGTAGACAAGTTATTAGGTTTCGTTTAACAGCCCGTATTCACTGACTTTTGTGCCCTTTTTGAACAGCTTATAGTCAACGATCATAAACTGGTTATTATAAGTGCCGCTATTGTACTGCGCGAACAAATCTGTCCACTCTTTGCCCGAATCGGCCAAACGATTGGCCACAACATTGCGAATGAATTCAAAGAGTATATTATCGGCCCGAATGTGTTGATACAGGGATTGATTATAGTTATGATTAGTTGTCTCCTGAACCACGAGTTTGGACGATAAGACATAGTAGTCATCGCCGGAGAAGATAAAGCCCGGCGACGACGAGAAGGACACCGAATGGCCGGCAATTTTCTTCGTCTTATTGGCCACTGTATTGAACGCAAAGCTATACCTCTTCATCACTCGTAACATTGTCTCCAAACCACTCCACGTGTTGTGAGCGACAAACAGATCGCTGCCGTCGGCCAACGGCTTGACAATTGCCGAACAGTGGTCTCTATAGCGAAGAGTTGTCGAGTCGGGCGTTAGGATCCGCTCGAGATTATACATCTCTGAGCCCACGTTTATCCAAAATATTTCACTCAAATACTGACTTTCGGTCGTATTCTTGATGTCATTTTGTACTTTCCATAAGTGATAACCGGCTTCTAATCCGTTGATCTGTTTGTAAATCAGATCCAATTGATGCCAATAATCATTATTCTTGTTCTTAGCGATCATTTCCTCAACAAATTTGGTGTTATTTTCTTTGAATTGTTTAAGTAATTCGCAAAATCTCTGTCGTTTGTCACACAAGCCCTCAATGTTATTGCGATAATTCATATGAATTAACTCTCCAGTGATATATCCCTCAAGAATTCCGGACATAACTGATTGAATTTCATCGGAAAAGCGGTCATAAGTTGTCAGCTCTAATTTGGCCCAACTTTTGCAATATTCATTTAATTTAAAATTAAATATTTTAAAAACTTAATGGCATTAATCATTAGTTATATAAATACCCCGTTTTGTTAACAGTGTTCTCATATATAATCATAGCGACCGTCTCTTCGGGCAAATCAACGATTGTTTCATTATATGTTTCGCTCGTATGTATTGTCCCATCGTTTATGATATAATGATATTTAAATGATAAACATTTGGTCACAAATAAAGTGACAATTAGTGCCACAAAAATTGCCTTCATTTTCAACTTAAAATTTAATAAATATTAACTTATTTTTAAAAGAAGACAATTAACTGATTTATGGCAATGAATAGTTAATTATGGGATTAAAAACAAATGTCAAGTGTTTTGATAAGAGTTTTAGAGATAAAACAAAACTAAAAAAATACAAACTTCAAGTCCTTTTCAAAATGAGATGATAATTGAGTATTTAGTGACTGATTGTGCAAAACATTTACATTGTATCTAACATTGTTTTAAAACTCTTTAAACTGTTCAAACTTGGTCAATGTTCACTACAGTTTAGTAACTAAACTTTAGTTCAATCCATACTTTGATATCAGATAATTATTTTGGCAAAATAGAGTGCATTAAAACCAGTATTGGTTTTATTAAGATTAAATCGCTTTCATGTCATTTAGATATTAATTAAAAATATATATTAACATTATATTACTGGCAATGTTTATTATTACTTAATTTAAAGATTTAAATACAGTTCAATCGCTTTTTATTTGTAAATCAACAAATGGTTTAAAACTATATTTTAAAGTTAATATGTATTTACAAAAACATAAATAACACACAAAACATATGCCAAAGCGGACTAAGTCTTTGAGTTGTAGGCGCGGCCGACCTCTCTGTTGGCCACGCGTTGCATCTCAAGAGCGCCGCCGACGCCCAGACCCACGATTGAGCCAAAGGCTGTGCTCTTCACTAAAGGCA